GAGAGAGAGAGAGAGAGAGAGAGAGAGAGAGAGAGAGAGAGAGAGAGAGAGAGAGAGAGAGAGAGCACCAACCTTGGCGAAGCTTGCTGGCGACCACCCCTGCTCCTGCTGGCTGCTGCCGCTAACATCCGCCTGTCGTTGCTGCCCGGCTATGGAGGATGGCTGATGGAGGATGGCCGATGGAGGACTTCGATGAAGACGGCCAAGGCGTTACGATGGCCAGGGGTCTTCGATGACGACGGCGGCGCGAGGACGAGCTGGAGGACACGAATGACGTGTCTGGCGGCCTGGGCGGGAGATTACCTCACCCAGCGTTCAAATTCGAACGTTGGGCCAAAAAAAGTTTCCGGGCCTTGGCGCAGCCCGGAAAAAAAATTGCGCAGGCCCGGTTTCATTTTTTCGACAATCCCCCGTCTCACTTGCACCTCGCCCCCCAACCTTTTTTTTTTTTCCTTGACCCTTGTTTTAGGCAATGCGGCGCATGTGCGCAAGTGCCGCGCACGACATGCACCGCAAGTATGGATAAAACCAATTAGGATCCAGAGCATGCAATGGCTGATAGCTTACGTGGCACTCCCGGTCAACAAATAGCTTCACGACAAGAGGAAAAATTCTGACCCCAATAGTTCACCTGCATACAACCTTTGTAACGCAAACACTGACAAAGATACCGTCCACTGACTGTTAAAATGCCCACCCACAATTAAAGTATGGTCCCGAGTTACAAATCTAGGGTTTTCCTTCTTCACGCTGCCCCCACCCACTTCCCCGATCACCCTACTACTGGCCACGCAGATCCCCTCCTATCTCAGACTGCAACTGTGTAGGTTCACAGAGCGGAAAACAAGAAATGATTCTGAGAAGTTAACTACTTAAAGAAAACTCTCACAGCGAAGGAAGAAAAAAGGTGCCGGGGTTCCAAGCTGTGGCAGGTCATCTACCAATCAGATCAACAGAACAAATACTTCTAAATGACCGGGCCGGGAATGCCCCGTTACTTTAGGGGCATGGCCTACCAATGCTAAAAGCAAGCCAAAAAAGAGAACACGCCAGTTCGTTTTGTTTGGGCTTGCAGGGCGTTTCTAGGCTCATTAAGGGAAAGGTCATGGGGGGAGGTAAATTCTCTGTCTCTAAAATGGTGTGGGGGGTTTCAAGTTGTCTTTATGCTGTGGCGGTGTTTGAGCTATGTCTTTATCGCGGCTTAGGAGGGGGTTAATTCTTTGTTTCCAACACCGAACTTCATTCATCTATGTTTGTTTTTCAAACAGTTGAGTCTGAGTTGCTCGTTGCTGTTTTTTCTACCCAACTACATATCCCCTATTTTTCGGTTGCAGTATTCACATGCTATAAGAGGTTTCATGCACACTAATCTGAATTCCGTCAATACCCCTTCTGCGAGCAATGAGCATCGCAGGGCCCTTATCGTACATGCACATGTACTGGAAAGAGGCCCTCAGCAAACCCCGTGCCCGCCCTAAGTGAAGGCGGGCCTGAATACTCACTAGAGGCCAGAATTTGACATTTTCCCATATGTGGGTACTCAGGCTGTTGCAGCACGCCAGTTGGTTGAGTGGAAGCGTGAGCCTCCCTAAGCTGCGTCGTACAGTTTGGCCCAGGCCCTGGTAGTTGCACCTGGGCACATACAGACAATGCAGGGCCAATACATCACGAAGTGGCTACGGGCCTACAGAAAAGCAGCATTGTCGACGTACATACCCCGGGTCCTGTGCAGATAGAGCAAACTGCCCAAGTCTGGAAATGTGGGGTGTGCCCAACTTTACAAGGCCCAGGCCCTCAGCTGCAAAGTTTGGCCTGGGCGCAGGCAACGGGGCCAGACCGGAAGCTACTGGAAGCTTCTCGGCCAGGCCCTCACACAGCCGACCAGGGGCTGCCATTTCCATATAGGAAGAGAGGCAGCCAGGGTCTGGCATTCTGGCCCACGCAGGCAATGTGGTCACGCTGCTGCGCTGCTGCGTTAGAGGCTGCGTGCTGCGTTGACGCCAGGGCGCATACGGGCGCTTGAAAGGTGAGAGCGGCGCTGCTGGGCAGCGGAGCTCGAGCAGCCATAGCCGGGCTGCAGGGCGCTAGGGGGTGAGAGGGCGATCGGTGGTCTTCAGGAAGGAGGTGAGTGTGGGTGGTTAGGGTCTGATGTGGGGAGATGAGATACATACCTGGTGCATGAGGGAGGTCGGCTATGGTGTTCACGTCATGTACATTGATCTTCAGAGTCGAAGTGAGCCTGTTGCGTGAATGCTGATGTACGTAGGATAGGCAAGTAGTGCAGGCTGAGCGCTGGGCGCCAGACAGAGAGGAGCGACATTGGACACTGTGTTGGTGTGGCCTGAGGGCTTGAACATTGGCTCATGACTTCATTGTGTTGCTCTTATGTGGATGGATTCTCAGTGCATCTGTGCTCTCTGCTTGTACACGACTACTTGGACATCTGTGTGATTTTGCAACTTGGCTTTCTGTATATCGTTCCCACTCATGTTCCTTGCAGTTCCTCACACGGGCAGAGTTGTGATGGCTCTTCTTCTAATAGATCGTAATCACTCAGAAAGCTGTCTTTATCAGGTGGCACTTCCATCCATGAGCTGTGGGCAAATGAACATGCAGGCAGTGTGCAGAGAGGAAGGAAGGACGATGGAAGGGCAGGGGGAGGAGGAGGAGGGGAGTGGGAAAGGAGGGAGGGAGGGAAAATGCAAGGGAAAGAAAATGAAAAAATGAGGAGGGAAGGGGTAATCAGTTTTCAAAGGGACGAATGACAGAGGTTCAATCTCCATGATCGACAAAAGACAAACCTGCAGCATGTATTTTGCTGATTACTCCCTGACGAGTCGCCCATTCTTGAAGTTTGACCTCTCGCCAGTTTTTGCACGCGACACCAACCTCCGAACTTAGGGCAGACATTTGTGCTTCTCCCAGACCGTTAAGCAGATCCTGTAGACGGATTCTTAACCGTTCCAAAATGTCAAATGCCCTGCTTGCTCCTCCGTTTCTAGACATAATCAACTCGCTGGCTTCGACAGCTCCACTGCATGAGCATTCCTCATTGCCAGAACTGCAAGCACGAGAGGTAACAGGACCATCCAATTCTCTCCTTGTCCTCTTTCTCCTTTGCGAAAATTGTGCAGATGCTTTTGATAGGAACTCACACAAACTGCTGACAGCCCGGATCTCATTCAGAGGGCTTGTAGGGCCATCATCTCCATTCTCCAGGAAGTATATCTCCGTCTGGAGTGCAATGGGGAAAAGAGCAGAAAACATCACAGCTAGGTGTTAATTGGCTGGTAAAAAGTAAATATGATCTCTAATTGACTGTGGATCTGCTATGTGACTGATTGAGAGCACAATCCAGCAGAGCATCAACATGCCCCCATACACATGCGACGATGACAAAGAAGATTTGGAGAGGGATTCACACGACACCAGACAGAGTTATGCACAGCGGTAGCTCAGTAACAAAGAAGAATTGGATAGTATTAATTCAAAGTCCCTTACCACTCTCCAGGACAATCAGAGTCACAAAAGAAACCAAGGATCAGAACTGCCCTGGACAAACTCAAAATATAGGTTCATTAAGTCCCTGGAGTCTCCTCTCTCGCCAACTCAACCTCCATAGCCAGCTACGGCACTCCACCCAAAATCACAGCGCCCAACCTCACTACTCTGCAGACCACCAGCGCCTCCACTCTCCTGTCTCAGCAGCACCAACGCTGTACAGAACTCAGATGCTGCAACGCTATGCCGGAGACCTCCCAGAATAACTAACGCCAGCACCAGGACGAAGGAGGACCCTCCAGCTTGAAGTAGAAGAAAACAGCTGCCTCAAAGAAGACGACATGGCAGCGCCTAGCCCCACAGCACAGATATGATGTCGCCAGGCTCAGCAGCTGAAGCACCTGCTTCATTGCTGCCCAAAATCCTAGCAGTGTCTTCCCAGGTACAGTGCTGCCCTGGCAGCCTGGAGGCATCCACAGGGGAACTAAACAACTGCTCAACGAAAACACCTCTAACCCTTCGGAGTCTTCGGACCCACTCTATTTATACTTCTACTCTAATCTACTGGACTGAGCTGCCAAGGACCTGAAACCAACAAACAGTTATGGGTCTGTGCTTTTCATTAACAATGGTACCGGTCTGAGGCAATGGTAAACCAACTAACAGTTATTGGTTTGTGTTTTCAGAAACAGCGGTACCAGTCTGAGGCAGGCGTAAAGCAACAGTCCATCGAGGCCTCAAACGAGGTTTAGGACCAGTAGTCCCCGTTTTTGCAGTCGTTTAGGGAATTTGTAAAGAATTCCCTGTCGGTGTAGCCCTGTTTTAGTTACCGGTTAGGACCCACAACTCTGAAAAATTACAAAATTGTCCTAGTTAGTTGTATAGCCCGCTCTCAGAAAAGTAAGAGTGTTGAGATCATGGCCAAAAACAGTCTTCAGAAGTGATACGGCGATTTTATCAGCACTGTCACGGAGCCAACCATGAAAAGAGTGAGGCTGAGAAACTTCGTACTTCCCAGGGTACTTGTACCGGCAACTGAGCCCTGTGAACCATGTACTTTGGTGAATTCGGGGTGCCAGTAGGGGTCTCCACTCTACTGGTCCTCCTTGGATTTTATCCAGTTCTAAGTTTGTGTTCTACGGCGCATTTTTGATCCCCCCCCCCCCCCTTTTTTTTCCTTTTTCTTTTTTTCTTTTCTCTTTCGTAGTGAATTTTGAAACTTTGTGTTGGTACCTGGCCTGCGGCGGTGCTGCCCACACGCTTGAGTACGAACCATAATTTTTCAGAGTTACTAGTCGTAGCTAAGTAGTAGATAGTGGTTGAAAAGTGGAGTTGTTCTCCTCTCAAGCTCGGCAGCAAGGACAGAAGGTTTGAGCGCCGGTGTGTTTTCCCAGCGACGGAAGGTGTGCTTTTTGCTGTGATAGTAAAGTCCGGAGTCGCCTTTTATCATTGTTGTAATGACATAAGAACTGTGAGATCGACCTCGCAGTAAGCTTGGGTACGATCTCACAGTGCTGTCAGTATTCAATACTGATGTGCATTCATTTTTCTTTTCTTATTTTATTCGTTTTATTCGTAATATGTTCTTTCTTTCTATTCTACATTCGCATCCGATGTATGGTACCTGTCTCTTATACACATCTAGATGTGTATAAGAGACAGGCTTGGGTACGATCTCACAGTGCTGTCAGTATTCAATACTGATGTGCATTCATTTTTCTTTTCTTATTTTATTCGTTTTATTCGTAATATGTTCTTTCTTTCTATTCTACATTCGCATCCGATGTATGGTACGTGGTTCCACTCGGCGATGTCGACAAGGACAGCTGACGGCTCGTTTTTCAGCGACAATCTTGAGGATGGTATGAACTCGCGATGCTAATGTTGATGGCGTGTTCGATGGTATGTGGGCTGGGGGGAGATAAAAGGGCATGTATGAGTGGTCGGATCTATCGTGCAACTGAACACGGGTGATGGTGTAGCGCTGGTGAGTGCGACGTGCATCTGATGCACATTTGGCTGTACGCGTCAGTTGGGTGGACATAGGCGGCTTTGGGATTGAACGCAATCGCTGGTCGACCTACATGCGCTACTTACCGGAGAGCATACATCCAGTAGGAATTACGGTACGGTGGTAGAGGTGATTCAGGGTTAATACTAATCAAATCGACGTGTATCTGCCGACGTGGATAGGCGATGTGGCTACATGCATCCGTTGGGTGCAAAGGCGGCTATGGGATTTGGGTGTTGGGAGATTAAACATATGTGACACGTATCTCCTGACGTGGATGGGATTGATATGGTGATGTGAGTAATTGAATTGTGTGTTAATCCTGATGCAGATGGGAATAGAAATTTAGTTTGCTGATTATTTTTGTGCGATCATTGTATTACCGGCATGCAAACGACGAGTGCAAATGACACGTGTACGTTATGGCGTTGTGAGTGAATTCACAAGTGGGAATGCTCGTGGTAGTAGACCAGGGGATCTGCTGTGACCAGTGATCCCGTGAGGAGCTTCTGTGGATAAGAAGTTGTGTACACGGCCCAAGGTCGAGGGAGAGGCAGAGGACGCTGGTCGAATTGTGGGAGATACTAGATGGAGAACGCACCTCCTCCTCCCTCACCCGAAGTGATGCCAGGTGCTGCGTACCAAGTGCCGGCTGCACCCTTCCAAGAAACTAATGGGTTCTACCAGGAACTGTATCCAGCACCGTTACACCCATTCGGATTCCCACCTGTTCAACAGGGGTACGTTACGACACCGCCTCCCCAGCAATGGAACGGAGAAGCGGGAGCACCCGCAGGGAATCTTGGGCAGTATAATCAAGGCTATGGCCGGGGTAATGGCGGTAACTACCAGCAACGTGTTTACTTCACAAGAGAGCAAGCCAGTCTTTTGGACAAACTGAAACTAAAGGAGGCAGTGGACGAAGCAAGGAAGAAAGATCTAGAGGAAATAGCAAGGCTGAAAAGGGTACAAGGAGAAGGTGAAAAGAAGAAAGAGAAAGGAAAGAGTGAGGCAAAGGAGCACGGGAAAAAGCCAACTGCTCGGGAAAAGGCAAGGCAAAGGTGACTGAGGATGGGAAAAGAAGATAGCACGAAAAAATGGGTAGCCGATATGTTACATGCAGCGCGTGCACACACGGGCCATTTTGCAGGCCCGACGGTTTTCAGGCCAAAAGCCTGAATTTCAGGCCGAAAGCCTGAAATCCAGGGCTTATAGGCCCCATGTCGGTTCAGGCCGAAAGCCTGACTTTCAGGGCCTACAGCCCCTGCGGCGGTTCAGACTAAAAATGGTAATAGCATTTTTAGCCTGAACCCAAGGGCCATTTTCGGTCGTTCATCAGAACGACCGGCCCTGAAACTCAGGCACCGAACCAGGGTTTTGGGGAACAGCCTATGTATAGACTGTTCCCACACCAGCCTCAGCAGGCTGCTACACGCCAGCCCCTGGCACACTTCGGCATTGGCAAGAGCTGCCTCCTCGGCCTGCTCGCCCTCCTGCAGTCAGGAGGCAGGCCGAGGAAGTACTTAGGGACTTCCCAGGCACTTCACGGGTAGGCAGTCGGTCAGTTGTAGTCTTCAGGATTCGGGAGCAGCACTCTGGAGGGAGCGCTGCAGTGCAGTAGTAGCAGTGTTAGTTTGTAGTCTTCAGCGCTGGGCGCAGTAGGTAGCTGTAGTCTCCAGCGCTGGTCGCCATAGCTAGGTAGTACTAGAGAGAGAGAGAGAGCTTGGGCGGAGGCCAGAGGCACCTACCTGCAGCGCCGTTGCTCCGGCTTCGTCTTCGAGGTACCTGCAGCACAGCGCCAACATCACAGGTTAGTATCTGGTTCGTAACAGAGAGAGAGAGAGAGAGTTCTTCTTCTTCCTCTTCTCAGTCCACCATCTCTTCTCTCCCTCTCAACTTCTGACTTCACTGCATCTGCAGACTATGAGAGAAGAGATACGGAGATTGGTGACATTTGATCCAGACTCGACTTTTGGGGGTTCAGACATGCCAACGAGGGACTATTTGGGATTGGTGACCAAGACTTGGTGTTAACGACATTCCCATCCTCCTCCCTCCTTTCGTCTGATCCTTATCTCTTCGTCTGTGTATGTCTGGACCTGGCGCTTTCTTCCTGTGTACAGCGCCAGGCTCCTTCACACTTGGTGATGGATACCATGCATGTTTAGTCTGAGTTCAAACATTGATTGGGCTAGTTAGTAGTACTCTAGCATTCTGCTTCGCCACTCTGAACTACGTGAATGAGGTCAGTCCTGTCAGGTCAGTCTTTGTATCAAAGTCTTCCCTGCGCTATTCAGCACCTTTTGTATGTATGAGAATGCTCATTGTCTGTCGAGACTCTACTCGCACTGTATTGTCCATTCAGTCCTTTTCATCACATTGCAGTTCCTCGGTTATTAATACATGGCATATCTGTGCATGTAACACGATAACTTTGGGAATTCCCTGCGGATCTTGACTGCGAAGCTGGATGATGTGGAAAAGAAATCTAAACTGAAGGAGGGGGAGCTAGAAGAATTGAAAATGCTGAGGATGGAGAAGGAACTGAGAGAGCTGCGGGAAAACTCAAACAGTGAAAAACGAAAAAGGGAACGTGCTTCACCAGCTCGTCCACGAACCAGCAAGACTTGATTGAGATCTAATCATCTGAAGAGGGGAAGTAAAGGTAAGAAGCCAGTGGAAGTCTCATTCCATGACAGTGCGAAAGAGAAAGATGCAGTAG